AAATTTTTTTTATTTTTGGGCTTTTTGGAACAGATTAATTGGGATTTCCTTTATTTTTTATGGGGAAAAATTTAAATTTCGGCTAACGATAAAAATCTGTTAAAGCCCCAAAGCCTCTGGAACGGTTAAAATTTTTACCCGAGGGTCCACTGTACGTCACTCATATTTACTTAAAATTTTGTAGTTTATGGTTTAAATTTGGGTGCAGGGGAATAGTAATTTAGGTAGGTACAAAATATGGTAGGTTGAACCCCCATGTTTTCGGGGGTTTTGAAACAAACCGTTTTTGTTGTTATACACCGTGTTTTTTGTTACTAGCGGGTTTTTTATAAAAATTTTGGGAAAAAATATGATGGGTTAAGCAAAAATTTCCCTTTTCATTTTATGCGACATTTATGGCCTCAGAGTGAATATTATTATTTTTTTTTTTTTTTTTTTTTTATCACACCGGCCCATTTCCCCCCAGGCAGGGTGGCCCCCAAAAAGAAAAAAATTTCACCTCATTTACCCATCACTGCTTTCCAGAAGGGGCTTTAACTACGTTTTTTAAAATGCAACTTAACCCCTCCTTCAGGTCAGGCACGTACTTCCCATCTCCCGGCTCAAAGTCCGGCCCGCGGTTTCCCTGAAACCTTCTAAAGTTACTTTGTCCACTCCAACAGCAGTCAAGTATTAAAAAACCATTTTTCTCCATTTACTTATCAAACACGCTCAGCTGCCCGCTGGAAGTCCAAGCCCCTCGCACACAAAAAACCCCCCCCTTTTCCCCCTCCCCCCCAACCCTTTCCTAGGCCGACCCCCACCCCGCCTTCCTTCCACTACAGATGATACACCCCTTGAAGTCATTCTGTTCCCCATTTTTCTACATGTCCCAACCCCCTCAAAAACCCTCTCAGCCCTCTGGACAACAGTTTTGGTAAACCCCCCCTCCCCCTAACTTTAAACTACGAATTCTCTGCATAATTCAACACCCACATTGCCCTCGACAGCATCTCCACTGCCCCCCAGCCTTTCCGCTGAACATTATCCCCACGTTCACCCCATATAAGAGGTTTGGTAAAACATACTTCATCTTCCCCTCTTTCTCCAAGACAAAAATTCTTTTTCTCCCAGATCCTAAGTGCAAAACCACTCTTTTTCCCTCATCAATTCTATGATTCACCTCTCTTTCATAGACCCCTCCCGGAACGCCACTCCCAAATTTGAATACATTACCTCCTCCCTTTCTTCTCCCCCCATCGATATTCAATTTTTTTCACCCAAACTTTTTGTTTTTCCCCATAACCTTTCTCTTTCCCTTTTTCCCTTTATTTCTCTTTTACAACCCTACCAAAATTCATCCACCAATCTCTGAAAAATTTCTTGAAAATCCCAAGACACGTGTCACAGCAAGACAGCTGTGACAACTCCCACTTTGTGTGTGATTCTTTGTCTTTTAACTCCACGCCTCTTGCCAAGACCCTCGCATTTACTTCTCTTACAACCCCATCTATAAATATATTAAACAACCACGGTGACATCACACATCCTTGTCTAAGGCCTACCTTTACTGGGAAAAAATTTCCTTCTTTCCTACATACTCTAACTTGAGCCTCACTATCCTCGTTAAAAACTCTTCACTGCTTTCAGTAACCTACCTCCTACACCATACACTTGCAACATCTGCCACATTGCCCCCCTATCCACCCTGTCATATGCCTTTCCAAATCCATAAATGCCACCAAGACCTCTTTAGCCTTATCTAAATACTGTTCACTTATATGTTTCACTGTAAACACCTGGTCCACACACCCCCTACCTTTCCTAAAGCCTCCTTGTTCATCTGCTATCCTATTCTCCGTCTTACTCTTAATTCTTTCAATTATAACTCTACCATACACTTTACCAGGTACACTCAACAGACTTATCCCCCTATAATTTTTGCACTCTCTTTTATCCCCTTTGCCTTTATACAAAGGAAACTATGCATGCTCTCTGCCAATCCCTAGGTACCTTACCCTCTTCCATACATTTATTAAATAATTGCACCAACCACTCCAAAACTATATCCCCACCTGCTTTTAACATTTCTATCTTTATCCCATCAATCCCGGCTGCCTTACCCCCTTTCATTTTGCCTACTGCCTCACGAACTTCCCCCACACTCACAACTGGCTCTTCCTCACTCCTACAAGATGTTATTATTATTATTATTATTATTATTATTATTATTATTATTATTATTACTATTAATATGGCAACTTCATGACTAATGATATACTCTTGATGATTTTACTGTGTTCCTGCATGCCAGCACAGGTGCAAGTCGTGGAATTTAAAGTCTATATTTTGCAAGGTATTTAAATGCTGTATGTACACCATTTCATTTCTACATTATGGTTTTCTTATGAAAGAAGTGATCTAATGCAGTTAGCATTACAAACTCCGTTTTCTCTTATATTAACATGTCTGACGGAGGAAAGAATGGGAAGACATTTTCATAACTGGAGCAAGAATGCCCGCGACTGCGTCCTCCCCCGCCACCACATACGTAATGACATACATATTTTATTCATTCTAGAGCGTATATCAGGTTTTTATGTTATATTGTTTATTATGTCATATTAGATGAATTTTGACAGATAAATGAGCCGTAGAGTTGATAATAGTGTCATAATGAAGTAGTACTATTTTGTCATGCCTCCTGACAGCAGCAACGAATTAATTGGATTTACATTATTTCTTATAGGAAATACTGCTTCGAGTTCCAAACGTTTCGGCTTTAGAACTAGCTCCTGGAACAGATTAAGTTCGAAACTCAGGGTACCACTGTATATTATACCATGCCTTATGTAGAGCAGCTTCCAGCCATGGGATGGAACTGATATCTTTGTGCAGTAAACTTCGTTTCACTATTGACCAGAGGTTCTCAATAGGGTTTAGGTCTGGGGAATTGCCTGGCCAGTCATTAAAGAACCTCACTTCGCAATCCTTAAGCCACTGAACTACAGATTTGGCAGTATGACATGGTGCACCATCCTGCATAAAAACCGTAGCCCCACACTTGTCAAACGCCTCAGGTAAATTGTCACACAATAACTCCAGGTAATTATACTGGTTCATATAATGGTTTTTGGGAAGCACAGTGAGTTCACCAACACTGAGCACAGAAACACCCCTGAATCTTGATTGAGTCTGGGTGTTTGGTGGTACCACAGGTGTAGCGTGGGTCTAGCGGGTCACTACCTCTGGGCCAGTACACACGTCCCCCACGGTTACAGGTGATGGTGAAGGTTGCTTCATCACTCCAAAGTACTTCAGACCACTGTTGATGATTCCAGTGAAGATATTTCTTTGCCTATGTTTCTTCTGTGGCTTGGAGAGGATTGGTTTCTTAGCCTGGCGGTGACTACTGTAGCTCAGTTCTGATACACGTCTGTTAACAGTTCTTATAGACACCTCTGAGAGAAGATGTAGGTTCTTTTCTTTTAATTCTCTAGAAGTTTTCTTAGGTGTACTCTCTAACTGCTTCTTTAACACAGTTAAGGTACGAACACATGTCTTCTTCAAGGGGCCAGGCCGAGGTTTGGCAGATGGTAACTCGATACCACCACCAGCCTTGAAATGCTGCACCTAGTTCCTCACTGAACACTCACACACACCAGCATTCTCCAGTATTTCTTTCGTCTGGTGCCCGGCTTTGTGAAGCCCTATGATTTGAGTTATAGTTTCAGATGTTAAAGACTTCCTTTTATGCATAATGAAACATGTATAGCTCCAAAATGAAAAGGAACACCAGACAAAAGATGGGGCGGATGAGAGACAAAAGTGCAACACTTCCTCTCACCACGGCAGTCATGTGAACACTGAGGAGTAACTATGGAGTGTGGTGGCAGGCTGTGATGTCATTCTGACAGTTGCTACCTGGCATAATGCACTGACAAAGAAAGACCCCATCCCCTGTATGGTAGGCCTTTGATTTTCGTCACGGCATTGTGCCAGAGCGCTCACCCGGCATAATGCCGTGACTAGCACTGTACATTATCAATCACTTTCAGCTTGGAACATGTCAACAAAAAACTTTGAAATAGATCTATCCCCTCTGCGACCACCCACCGCCACTGCCCCCACCCCCCACTGCCTCCGCCCCCACCCCCACTGCCCCCGCCCCCACCCCCCACTGCCTCTGCCCCCCCCCCACTGCCTCCGCCCCCACCCCCCACTGCCTCCGCCCCCACCCCCCATGCCTTCGCCCCACTCCCACTGCCTCCGCCCCCACTCCCACTGCCTCCGCCCCCACCAACCATTGCCCCCGCCCCCACCCACCATTGCCTCCCTCTACCCCCCACTGCCTCCCTCCACCCCCTTTCCCTCCCCCATCCCCCACTGCTCCCCCACCCACTACTGCCTCCCCCACCCACTACTGCCTCCCCCACCCACCACTGCTACTGTCCACTACCACTGTCCCATCCACCACTCCCCTCCCCTCCCACCACCGCCACCACCTACCCACCTGCAAAAGGCCCCCTACCCACTACTGCCGCCCCCAACCACCATGACTGTCCCCATCCACCCACTGCCCCCCCAGCCACCATGACTGTCCCCATCCACCACTGCCGCCTCCACCCACTGCTGCTTCCCCACCCCTTCACCTCCCCCCCTCCAAACACATCCACCCTCCCACCACACCCCCATCCACCTTTCCCCCCCACCCACCACTGGTGCCACCACCCACCACCACTGCCCCCCACCACCCCTCCCCGGACCCACCCCCTTTCCCCGCCATTCACCACTGCTGCTCCCACCCACCATGCCCCACCCACCCTTCACCGCCGATCCCACCCATCACCGCCCTCCCCCCATCACCATGACTGCCTATAACTACCCCCCACAACTGCTGCCCCCACCACTACCCCCCACTTCTACCACCCATGCACCCACCCACCCACCCTCTCCCCCCATCACTACCTCTGTTCCTCCGCCATCCCTGGATCTAATATATCATTATCAATCACTTTCAGTTTGGAACATGTCAACAAAGAAAATTGAAATAGATTTCCAGGACATGCAGATGAATTTTTCCCACAGTTGACTGGTCCCCTGATGGCCAGAGAGTTGTTAGCGGTGGCAAGGATAAAATCCTCAAGATGTGAGTAATAAATACAGTCTCTCCTCACTTAACGACGAAGTTCCGTTCCTAAGAGTAGGTGGGGTAAACAAATGGATTTTTTAAACAAGGACCCATACTATAGTGGTAGTGAGTTTGTGTCAACCGTCTTTAGATGTTGTTTTAATATCACCTTTGCACCATTTGTAGCATTTTTAGTGTATTTTTAAATGTTTGTACAGCAATGTACTGTATATTGTAATAAAACAGAATAGAGGAAATCAAGTCTAATATACATTACACAGGTATGCATACTGAGCCTCTCGTATGTCTGAGCGGTCGTTAAACGAGTATGCTGTTAAGTGAGGAGAGACTATGTATAATACTATAGTTTAAAACAGTGATGGTGTGTCTTCAAAACATTGCTAGGCTCAGCAAATGACACTCTTAAGCTTTTTGACAATGCTGAAGTATGCATACTAATTTTTTCCTTTTATGTATTTAACCCTTTGAGGGTCGAGACCCCTGCTCGCAAACTTGCTCCCAGGTTTGATGAATTTAAAAAAAATAATTTTTTCTTGTGAAATGACAGAAAATCTTTTTCTAAAGGTAATGAAACTAAAAGCACAAAATTTGATGAAAACTTACAGAATTACTCTCTCATGAAGTTAGGAGTCTCCGTGATATTTATGAATAGGCGATTTTCCCCCACTTTAAAGCCCTATTTTGGGTTAATTCAATTGTTCCAGTTGACCAAACTCATAGCTGTTTAGCTAGAACTCCTTTTATTCTATAAATTGAGTACAAGAAACTGCCCATTTGCCTATTTTAACTACCCAATAAAGTGATCAGAAATTACTAATTTGGCCAATTTCACACAAAATTCAAGAAAGGCTAATTTCAAAATAGGGTCCAAAATAAATAATGTAGATATCCCTGGTACTAAAATAGCATTTTCTCTGTTCATTAGTCATGTCTCTGGGCCCCTCTTATATTACACTTGCTTTTCATTTTGAATTTTTATTCACACAAAAAATAGAAGATTTACTGTTATTCAGACTACTGGTAATAATTGTATAAATAATGTTAGTGCATTTATGAGTGCATATTAGACTGGCCAGTTGACATGTATTAGATGTGTGACGTGATTTGTTTACTTGTGAACATCTACAAAAATCGAACATCTCTGCTACTTTGATCCCAATTTCAAGCTACTTTTAGTCTGTAAACCAATCAAAATCATCTTTATTTCTGTATTATATCTTCCATTTTTTCAAATGATACCAGGAACTGAGAATACAGCCATAAAAACCATATGAAAATACACCACAAAATTGCTGTTTTACACCAAAAACACCATCTCATGTACTGCATGCTGCAGGATTTTTTTATACTGTGCACACTGACCATGCAGACCCATTCTCTCATATGTAGGTCTGTTAGCTTTCTCCTGCAAGATTGGAAACTGATAGAATTTTGGTGTAGTATTACGGGACTGACCCTGACTTCAAAGCTGTAATATTACAGGACCGACCCCAAAAGGGTTAATAATTATTTTTCATGCTTGATCAAAATGTTCATTTATTTAACTGTAAAACTTTGGCTTGATTGAATATTTTCCATTAATTTATTTTTCAGTCGACTGAATGGCAAAACTTTGCAATCTTTCTTAACCTTGAGAAGTTCTGGAATAAGTTTTAATGTGTTTCAAACTATAGAAACTACACTCTGCAGATGCAGTCACTGTTGAAACCATTACTATTAATGGTCTTTTCCAAGTCAGACAGATTTACAAAACTCTAAAATTCTATTATGATTTTTTCTTGGAATTCTTCTGACAAGTACTCTTAAGTTGTACTTTTGGTGACAGTTTTTTATTTTTAAGTTAAATTTCAGTAACTGAGAAGCAAGTTCTAGAAATTCTTTTCTAATCCCTCTTAGTGATATTGTGAATGCTGTTATAATATTAATGAATTAAAATTTGTGAGTATGTTATTAATCTGGTTATAGTACATCTCCTCATTTAACGATGGAGTACCATTCCTAGGACCACGTTGGTAAATGAATTCATCACTAAGTGATGAGCATACTATCATGGTAGTGGGTTGTGTCAACCATCTTTGATATTGTTTTATTGTCACCTGTGTACCATTTATAACATTTCTGGCATATTTTTAAATATTTATACAGCAGTGTAATTTTTTTTTTTCAACAAGCCGGCCATCTCCCACCGAGGCAGGGTGACCCAAAAAGAAAGAAAATCCCCAAAAAGAAAATATTCTTTTATCATTCAACACTTTCACCTCACTCAACATAATCACTGTTTTTGCAGAGGTGCCCAGTTTAGAAATTTATCCTATAAAATACACAAAATGTCCCTCCAAACTGCCAATATCCCAAACCCCTCCTGTAGAGTGCAGGCACTGTACTTCCCATTTCCGGACTCAAGTCCGGTTATATAAAATAACCCGTTTCCCTGATCCCTTCACTAAATATTACCCTGCTTACACTCCAACAGATTCGTCAGGTCCCAAATACCATTCGTCTCCATTCACTCCTATCGAACACGCTCCCTGCACACCTGCTGGAAGTCCAAGCCCCTCGCCCACAAGACATCCTTACCCCTTCCTTCCAACCTTTTCCCAGCACGACCCCTACCCGCCTTCCTTCTCCTACAGATTTAAATGCTCTCCATGTCATTCTACTTTGATCCATTCTCTCTAATGACCAAACCACCTCAACAACCCCTCTTCAGCCCTCTGACTAATACTTTATTAACTCCACACCTTTTCTAATTTCCCACACTCCGAGTTTTCTGCATAATATTTACACCACACATTGCCCTTAAACAGAACATCTCCTCTGCCTCCAACCACCTCCTTGTTGCTGCACTCACAACCCAAGCTTCACAACCATATAAGAGTGTTGATATTACTATACTTTCATACATTCCCTTTTTTGCCCCATAGATAACTTTTTTGTCTCCACATATACCTCAACGCACCACTCACCTTTTATCCCTCATCAATTCTATGATTAACCTCATCCTTCATAAATCCATCTGCCAACACATCAGTTCCCAAGATTCACTTCTTCCATACTCCTCCTCCCCAATTTGATATCCAGTTTTTCTTTATCTAAATCATTTGATACCCTCATCCACCTTATCTTGTCTGTGTTTTACTTTCAACTTTTTTACCTTTACACACATTCCCAAACTCATCCATTTTAAACCCTTTTCAAGTTTTCTTTTGAATCTCCCATAAGCACGTATCATCAGCAAAAAGCAACTGTGTCAATTCCCATTTTGTATTCGATTCCCCATAATTTAATCCCACCCCTCTCCCGAACACCTAGCATTTACTTCTTTTAACCCCATCTATAAATATATTAAACAACCATGGTGACATTACACATCCCTGTCTAAGACCTAATTTTACCGGGAAGTAGTCTCCCTCTCTTCTACACACCCTAACCTGAGCCTCACTATCCTCATAAAAACTCTTTACAGCATTTAGTAACTTACCACCTATTCCATATACTTGCAACATCTGCCACATTGCTCCCTATCCACTCTATCATATGCCTTTTCTAAATCCATAAATGCAATAAAAACTTCCCTACCTTTATCTAAAATACTGTTCACATATATGCAGTGTAATGTATATTGTAATAAACAGAATTGAGTAAATCAGCTCTAATATACAGTATTTAGGTATGCATGCTTGTCAGAGAGCCTGTTGTAAGACCGGGTCATTGGTAAACGAGTATGTTGCTAAGTGAGGAGAGGCTGTATATCATATATTTTTGTGGCACTACTTACAGTGAGCTATAGAGGGTTATAATAGGTGAGGGACTGTGTTTTCTAGGCCCAGATCTCTAGCAAGAGGAATTCCTTTCAGTGATGAGAACAGTTATTATCGTGGATAAATTCCAAGATCAGGATGCTTTTTACAGTATATTAGAATGATACAGGTCTTATGTACATGGACTTTTGAAATGTTGGGTTAATCTAATTTAAATTAATAGTTTTCACTTTGTGTTATATTTTACTCTGCAAGAGAGCAGTTGATACTACAACTCGAATGTTGTATGTTTCACAGACAGATTTTCAGGTTGCAAGTGCTCCCATTTAAGTTTAAAATTTTGGATTTTATTAAACCAGGTTTAACTTCATAGAGTTATAAATAAAAAATGTGGAATGCTATATGTAATAAAAAATATGTTAACTAAAAAGATATTTTTTAGTTTTGAAAGGAAGAGTTTTTGTAAGGTAATGATTGCTTATCTTCTTGGTGGGATACGGCTAGTTTGTTGAAAGAAGAATTGTTTTCCGTGCTTCTTTTTTTATGAACACTTATCTCTGCTTGAAAATATTGCTTAAGAAATATGTATATTTTTGTTTGAACAGAAACTATTTTTTAACATTTCTCTGTATAAATTTAAGTAGAAGCCAGTTAATGACTATTTTCTACATTTATCACATTTCAGATGGAGAAGGTAAAACATCTACTGTACTCAAGGTAAAACTCATTAATAAAAAAAAAACTACCTATAGAAATTTTTTATTAACCACTGTCAACATTGTCTCAAAACTTTTTTTCATTATTATTATTGCGTCCTAGAATTCTGTGCTCTTTATGGGCCTAGACCTTAATTTTTAAAAATTGCTGCTGTGTGGTTGCTAACCCAAAAAATTTCCCCAACCATGGGATTTTTTTTGTTACACAGATAACGGGGCATAAAACACAATGTATTTTTGTAAGGGTTTTGGGTCACTGATGGTATTTTCCTTTTCACGGGGAAAGGTTTATGGTCATTTGCCTTTGGGTTTGTATGTGAGGTTTTTCCCTTACCAGGGGGGCCACAGTTGTTTTAAATGCTTGCCTCTCTGTGCTTTTTGCCTTTGCGGGAAAACAACTCCTATTTCGCAATAAAACGAGGATGGAAGTTCTCAGCTCAAAATTTAAAAAAAGCGAGCCACATTGCGGGGGGAAGTGTCTCCGCCCGGGGCAGGTATACACAAGTGCCCCATTTGGAATTGGG